CCTGGCAAGGGTAGAGGTTCAAAAGGCGAAACCACTTGCACAATCCATGGAAATCAAGTTATCCTAAATCAGAAAGGAAGATTCACATGGTTCGTGCCCTCGTTACTATGAACTGCTCGTGTGCGACTTCCTGGTGGATGATTCCACCAGATCGTGTGTGGATGTCTGGTTTGTCTACCTTCGTGCGGGTGATATTAAACTGGAAATACAAGACTGTCAATACAGGCTTTAAAAGTTGTACATTGATCTATGAATGTGCATTGAGTCTCTCAGACCTCTTCAGCAAATAGTATAAATGAGAAGCAAAAATCCTCATTCTGTCATAAACAGTAGTAGCTACAATTTGAGTTATAACTGTGTTGCTTTAATTGTATTGCAGACGGTGAATGTGTAACAAATAGTTGCTTTATCTTAGTAAAGGCTGTGACAGGGAATGCTGCAGTATCTCAGGAATTCAAGGTTATAATAAGCAAGTGTTGATGGAAAAATAAGTCCAATGAAAAAATAAATAAAAATGTTTATTATTCCAAAACGGAAAGTTAGGCATAAGATCTTAAACAGTTAAACAAGGAACTCATAAAAAATAACATTTAGCAATTATATTATAAACATTTTTTAGCTATAACATAGTGTGCATCTGTGTATACACAGGGGTGTATGTTACATGGTTTTTCTTTCTTACAGCCTTAAGAGCAAATAGTCCCAGGTCCGGATCAGTCTTCCTGGTTGGCCACTGTGTATAGGAGATAGACTTATCTGTAAAACTCTCAACGGTCTTCCTCTTGCCCCCTCCCAGTTGTCTGACTTGTCTTGACTGAGGTCAAAACCTTTCAAGACAGGTTTGTGATAACAGATTCAAAAGATGGACTGGGGAAATGTCTCAAGAAAAAACAACCAAAAAATCTCACCACTCTATGAGGAAGTATTCAGCATGACACTAGCTATGTTATTTACAAAGTTGTATATAAGCTTAACAGGAGGTGTTTTGTTGTAATTTCTTTAGTGTTTGATGGGGAGAGGCTTGAGAAGAGGGAAACCTTCCATGATAGATACCAGAGCAGCCCTCACTCAGATGAGGGACAGGAGACACTGCATTAAGAAACCATGAAGATGCCACCTAAGGAGTACTGAGGTTACAGAGAATGTATTTGGTACGTCAGTAGCTGTCAGGCGAGCTTGTGCTGAGGAGGAGCCCTCCTGCCTGAGCCTCGGCGCAGTGGTCTCATGTAGGGAAGTAAAGTAAGAAGCTAGCAAAGCAGCAGTGTGCTGCTCTTCTCTCCACAGCCTTCACTTGGAGCTTTAATTTAAATTGTGCTTCAGAGGAAATGCTTGTATTTTTGTCATCTGTGGACATGCACCCAGAGTCACCCACTAGAACAAGAACGTCCCTATGTTGGTGTCCTGAGATCTGTCTAGAAGATCAGGAACCAGTGACCACCTGGATCCTGGAAGTAAAGGATCCTTTACTTCCCCAGGAAACCATCAGAAGGAAATAAAATGCAGTAAACACCTCAGCCCACCCCCCTCAAACTGAACTCATGCACTGCTCTGGGGGCAACAAAAAATTAGATAGCTCATTTGCTTTGTGTGTTTGGAAGTTGCTTGCCGCCTCTGGTGATGGGAGCTGTGAGAAAGAGACAGCTAACGGGAGCGAAGGTGGGCAGTGGGACTGGCATCGAAGTACCGCAGCCAGCTTCACATCACCAAATAGTGAAGGACACAAATGAGCAAGACACATCTGTATCACAAAAGTGTGTGTGTTCACCCAAGGTGTGCTTTGTTCCAGCTCCACCTTTAGTGCCAGGCTGCCTTTTACTTGTTGCTGTTAATATTTTGGCAAATCATTTTTACTTTGGAATGGAGGTTATTCTTTAACATTTTATTCTGTGTGATGTTAATAGGTTTATGATGTTCTTTATGGCTTTTGTGGTTTCTTTTGTTCACCAATGACTTGCTTCCTACGAGCTGTTTGGTTTTCTTTTGGAAAAGTCAATTCATTTAGCTTTAGTGTGTATATAGAAATTTATTTTTTCATTGCTCATTTGTATCTGGGTTTGTGCAATCAGCAGTTCTGCTTTCAGCAGCAAGTTACTAAAAATGAGTCTTCAAGTTTTATTTTTTAGCAAAAGCTTTGGTGACAAGTTCAGAGGAAAAGAGAACAGATATGCTTATTTTTAAATGAACTTTGTAGTAAAAAAAAAAAAAAAAGAAAGGAAATTATTGATTAGGAGTTAAAATACAGTTATGAAGCATTTTCAGAAGTTATCCTGAAGTACAGCCAGGAAGGAACTCCTTTGAAGGCCAGGGAAGACTTGTCCATCAGACTTGACGAATCAGACTCTTTAATTTTATAGTCTGTTTTTGTTTGTCTTAATTAAAGACTTGACAAGTTTCGTCTTAACTAAAAAGCTTTACAAAACCGTCTTAAAATAATTTCTCATGTTCTCGTTTCTTATAATCTCAGGTAGAAGGAGCTATTTATGTAAGTGTTTAGATTGATCTTGTCGCTTAAGGAGTTCATCATAGTTTTAGCATTAGATGTTTTAGTTCCTTTTTCGAAGCTGTGTGGTATTTGCAACCTGTCTGTCAGCATTACTCAACACAATTCAGTTAAAAGTTTATGCCAGCTGCCGATCTATCAGTTAAACTTATCAACTATGACTTTTTTAATGTTAGGACCTCTTCCTCTGAACAGAAATATATAGAAAAAATAAAATTCGTTTTTTAAAAAATCTCCAACATTGCATCTGAATGTTTTGTGGAATAAAAAAATACATTGCACATTGCAGAAGTCTCAAAAATTGATTTAACATTTCAAAAGGGTGAGTACAGGACATTTACAGCATATAACTCATTTACAGTATTTTAGTTTTATCCCCATAACTATTTTTATATTTATTTCAGTTTGTTTACTTTAGGATAATTGTTTAAGAGCATTTATTCTTCGTTTCTAAAAGAAGCAAAGGCAAAAATGCAGTGTGATACACTAGAACAAAAAGAAACTCATTGGTTGTTTCTAGAAATTTCTCAGTTTATGCACGCCTCTTTCTAAAAGCAAAACTGTCTGGAGTCAAACCAAGTTGATGGGTTTCAGTAAAATACACAACAATGAGGAGTATATATGTTCTGCATATAAGAACTGAAAAAGAAAGTTTGATCACAATGTTATATGGCTGCATCAAAAGCAGATCTCTAATTTACTCCATCTCCTCCAGTGTATTGTCTTCTTTCAGGGTTCAGACAGGTTCCCACTGATTGTGCCTGGAAACGGGCCAGCGCCTGATCTGGACTCAAGTACCATCAGGATGTGTTGGCTTGTCTGTTGAACCAGGTGTTATTAAAAGGGTGAACAATATGTTCATTCCTAATTTCAAGCTTTTGGTGGAGAGTATGTAAGGCTTTTATAATTTTAAGAATTATACATGTTTTGTCTCTGGACTCCAAAGTGTCTTAGAGCTCGTGGAATTTTGGGTGTAAATATCAGACCATGTCTTGCCTCTGAAGAGTTTACAGATTACACTTGAGTTATCTAGAAAGCAGAGATGAGACAATAAAATAAGCCCGGCCACAGATTGCAGCTTCATGGCACTTCACATGTCCAGTGCATATAATAAAAAAGGATCACTGCTCAATAAAGGGCTAGAATGGGAACAAACCCAGGTATGTAGAGGAAGTATTTTAGAATTCAGGCATGTTGACCATACTTTGACTTAAGCATAGAAATGGATCAGTAAATGTACATCAGAATTTAAAAATAGAGTTTTCTGTTCTCATAGGAGACTGCAAGCGTGTCTCCTGCCTTCGGATTTAATCTTACCTATAAAACAATCACAGCTGGGTCAGGAAACTACTCCAATGCAGAAAAATATTCAATTCAGTCCTGAACAGAAAATACTTGTCCAAATGATGTTGCAGTCATTATTAGTGAGAACCAAGCTGACCAAGAACCAGCTCCTGTAAGGTCACAAGGGGAGCATGAAGATGAAAAGCATTGGATGTGGACACACGCTGTTAGCCCCCAGCTGACCACAGAAACTCCTCCTGGAGAAACTGGAGATGTTGCCCAACAAGAAGTGGCAAGCCGTGTTCAGGACAGGAAGCCTGAGAGGGCTGAGCATGCAGAAAATTAATCGGCAAACAAGTGCATATCTCTTCACTGTCCTGTTATTTGAAGGTTTCCCACTGGTTTTGTTGATTAAACAATTCCTAGTTAGTTCAGTAATATAAAAAATATGCAGCATACACGGAGGCAGATTTCCTATTAGGCTGGTATTGGCTTAGTTAATAATGTTTGCAGTTCATTAACTGGAGTGCCCTAGCGCTGTCCTCGGGAGCCACGCTGCCGCTCCTGCACGCCAGCCTCCGCAGGGAACCTGCTTACCAGTGCACCCGCCTGCTGGGTTTAGAAAGAACACCTCATGCCCTGAAAAGCAACAAGCCCTGTTTTTCCACCCCGCATACCCAGGGTGAAGCTTGTCCTCTCCTTCTCTGCCCCTGGCTGAGGGTGGCCTGCCTTTCCACTTTGACCAGGTGGTGGAAGTAACATGGAAGCAAGAGGCTGTGGGAGCACGGGTGCTGCACCTTGGAAAACGTAGGGTTTACCTTGGCCCCATTTCTGACACACA